GTCAAATTCTAACGGTCTCTTCCTTGTATTTGCATAACTCTTCTATCTACTCTGAGCCGTTAGAAGCCTTTGCTGAATAGCCTTTATCTGTCAGGAAGTATGATCTACTATATCAGGACCAAGAGAACTTCTTTCACTAAGCTCTGTCTAGCATAAGGGAGATCTGCACTTTCTCCCATACAGTGCCTCGTAAGGTGCCATTCGAATACTTGAATGGAAACTGTTATTGTAGGAAAATTCAATTAATGTTAAAGATGTATCCCAACTACCGCCAAAATCAAAAAGCATTCGGGAGCATAATCAAAAAGCTGCACGAACATGGCAGTGTCAGTGTGCTTACAGTACTGTAAGCTTAATATATACATAACCAAAAAGGGTCCATGAATTTTTATGGCAAAACACCATACTTTAGCCTCCAATCTGCAACTTGCTCATAGTAGTTTCAAGCCCTAAAATGTTAGATTATATTTGAGGGATGAGATTTTAAGAAATCCCAGTAGCAAGATCAATCAACCAAACATTAACATGCATCATTATAAAGCATTTCAACATTAGCTATCATAGGAGAACTAATCTTTTATAAATAGGCAACCTCAACATGCAAGGCCATGGCAATAAATGCAAGGAGCAACCATATCACAACATCATAGTTCAACCATATAATAGCAAGCATACATGCCATAAATAACAATGCAAGGTTAACATTAATGGCTAATTAGATCCCACTACCTTAATCCAATGCTTTCTGTTTTTCTTATTGTTCCTTCTTGCTTCCACAAGTGCCAAACCCTAACATGGCAATCCATAAAAAGGGTAGCAAGAATCATCAACCATTCCTCATAAAATCAATAGCATAACTCAAGTAACTCCTAAGCCCCTTAAAACTTTCATCTTTGTTCTTGAATTTTTAGAGTTGGTTTCCATAAACCCTAAAAATTCTCTCTTGACTCAACCCCACATGATTTTTCATGTAGATTTCAAATATCTACTTGGATTTAACAAAATAAATTTTCCTCTTCCATTTTCAGCTTGACCGAACCCTTAGGGTTTAAAACTCAAAACTTGCAACTTTGCTTCTATGGCTTCCAACACTTGTTCTTTAGGTTTACCCTTCACTATTTTTTATTTTGAACACAATGGAAGCCTCAAAACTTTGAAAAACATATCCTAGGGTTCAGATCTTGCTTTGGCCAAAAATAACACTCAAGGAAATAACCATGAAAAATACTTCAAAACCAACTATAATCACTTGCAAACACTAGGATCTAACTTGTGTTGTTGTGTCTTAGCAAGTGTGATGAACAAAACTCCCTTCTCTTTTTATTATTTTGTTTGGGCAACCATTAGAGAGAGAGGGGATAGATTTTTCAACCATAAAAGAGAAGGAAAACAAGGCAAGAACACATCTAGAACTAAGAACTCACCTTGAATCCTTGATTGAATGACCAAAGTTGATGCCTTTCTCTTGGTTTTCCTTTGAACTCTCTCTTTTTCCCTCTCTTCATGCCTTGCACGAAATATGGATCAGATTAAGGGGAGGAGAAGCTAATTCAATGCACCAAAATATCCCACCAACCATCATTAATGAGGAGCCAAGTGTTAGGTGCCTAATTAGTCTTAAACATCTCTCTTAATTAACTTAAACCATAATGTAATTAAATTCCAAAGTCAAGATCCTCTCCATTGGTGGCTTGACACTTGGAAAGCTTTAATTACCATCCATTAGAGGCTTGACACATGGCTAAGTGTGAACCATTTGAATTGTAAGACACTAGTCTTGCTTTATCGGTGCACTTTTACTCCGGGTTTAACTTCTTTTCTATAATTACAGTACTCTAGCCCTTGTAATTATTTTCTGTCAGATCCATAAATTATTCTCCTCATTTTTGTCTTCCCAAATTGCCCTCTTTGTCTCAAATTAAATTTTCCAATAATTAAATAAAATGGAAAACTAATTTCCTTCTCTTTAGTGATTTTTCCACTTTTCTGAGGAATTGGGAAAAATCTTGGACACTTGAGGGTCTTATTTTAATTCCATAATCTCTTATAACTCCTTGAAATATCATAGGAATTTTCTTGGGATTGTATCCCCCTTAAATATATTTATTTGGAATTTTCCAAATAAAGACCTTAAATTGGCTTAAATTGCCCTTAAATTCCTTTGTAATCTCTCTAGGGGCAAATTGGCCATAAAACCAATTTTATAATCCCATATAATTCTCAAGGAACATTTTCCTTATTTTTTCTTAATTTTCTGAGACTTGGAATTATTTTTCCATAACTATTCTTGACCAATTTTCCTTAATTAGTCAAACTTTTCATAATTGGCTTGGAAAATTATAATAATTATTTTCCACCAAAATTCTTCTATTTCTCCTTGTCATTTTTTACCTTTAAATATTTAAGGATATTCTTATTCCTAATTGCCATATTACTGGATGTGACCGAAACAATACTACTTGGAACACCATGCAGCCTAACTATTTCCTTGATGTAAAGTCTCGCTAACTTTTCTAGAGAATCCTTAACATTCATAGCGAGAAAATGTGCGGACTTAGTTAGATGGTCTATTATCACCCATATTGCATCATGTTTTGACGCTGTCATCGGTAACCCCACTATAAAGTCCATGGATATGCTATCCCATTTCCACTCAGGGATATCCAGGGGTTGCAACTCTCCTGCAGGCTTCTGGTGTTCTACCTTCACCTTCTAGCAAGTAAGACACTTGTCACATATTCTGTAATATCCTTCTTCATTCCAGGCCACCAGAAAAGTTCTTTAACATCATGGTACATCTTTGTCATTCCTGGGTGAAGAGTACATTTGCTCTTATGGGCTTCTTCCAATATCTCTTTTCTGAGATCAGACACTTGGGGAACATAGGTTCTTCCTTTAAACTTCAGTATCCCCTCCTCAAAAATTTCAAAGTTCTTATTCTCGCCTCTAGACAGCTTCTCTTTGAGAATTTTCGCTAGCCAATCTTGTGACTGTGCTTCTCTAATTTGATCATTGAGCAGTGCTGTAAACTGGGTTCTACCTCTATTTCCTTCTACTAATAGCATCTGATATAGAGGACCCCAATCTCTAAAATCCTCTACTAGCTTCTGCTCTCTGATCATTAGCGATGCTACTTGTACTGCCTTTTTGCTTAAGGCGTCCGCGACTACATTTGCTTTGCCCGGATGGTACTTAATCTGAAAATCATAATCTTTGGGTAAGTCCATCTACCTTCGTTGTCTCATATTCAACTCTTTCTGGTCATGGAGGTGCTTGAGGCTCTTGTGGTCACAAAACAATTCTATTGTTGCTCCATATAGATATTGTCTCCACATCTTTAGTGCATAAACTATCGTTGCCAATTCCAGGTCGTGGGTTGGGTAATTCTCCTCCTGAGATTTCAATTGTCGTGAGGTGTAGGCTACTACCCGCCCTTGCTGCATAAGTACACATCCCAGTCCCTGCTTCCTAGCATCTGTATAAACCACATAAGGTTGCGAAGGATCGGGAAGTATAAGTACGGGAGTAGAAGTGAGCTTCCTCTTCAGCTCCTGAAAACTAGCCTCACTCTTCTCGTCCCACAAGAATGGCTGGTTCTTCCTGGTTAACTTGGTCAGCGGGATAGCAATTCGAGAAAAGTCCTGGATAAATCTTCTGTAATACCCCGCTAGTTCGAGAAAACTTCTAATCTCAGTCACCGTCTTGGGTCTCTCCCAGTTGAGTACTGCCTCAATCTTACTGGAGTCGACAGCCACTCCCTCTCGGAAAATCACATGGCTGAGAAATCAAACTTCCTGGAGCCAAAACTCGCATTTACTAAGTTTAGCCACCAGCTATTTCTCTTTTAGGGTATTTAGGACAATCCTCAAATGCTTCTCATGCTTTTCAAGAGATTTGGCATACACTAAGATGTCGTCAATGAATACGACCACAAATTGATCCAGGTAAGGACGAAAAATCCTATTCATGTAGTCCATGAATATCGCAGGTGCGTTCGTCAATCCAAACGGCATCACTAAGAATTCATAGTGCCCATATCGAGTTCAAAACGCAGTTTTAGGGACATCTTCAGACTTAATCTTGAGTTGGTGGTAGCCAGGTCTTAGATCAATCTTAGAGAATACACTGGCTCCAACGAGCTGGTCTAACAGATCATCTATCCTAGGGTGCGAATACTTGTTCTTAACTATGACTTTATTCAACTCCCTGTAGTCTATGCACAATCTTAGACTACTATCCTTTTTCTTGACAAACAACACTGGAGCACCCCATGGCGATACACTTGGTCTAATAAAACCTTTTTCAAGTAACTCCTCTATCTGCTTCTTAAGTTCTGTCATTTCATTTGGAGTCATTCTATAAGGGGCATTAGAAATTGGTCCTGTTCCAGGTACTATGTCAATTATGAATTCTACTTATCTATCTGGGGGTAATCCTGTGATCTCTATCGGAAACACTTCCGGAAATTCCCTAACCACCAGGATTTCTCCTATCCCTTCCTCAACCTCTTCTTGCACCGAGAAGAAAACAAGGAATCCTTGACAACCTTTTCATAAGCATTTGCCCGCTTGGGCTTCCGTAATGAAGTTCAATCTAACTTCCGGATTCAACTCTAAATCTCTCAAAGCTAAGATTAGGGTTTTGTTCTTACAATCCATTAGGATGTTGTGGGATGACAACCAATTTAGTCCAATCACCACACCAATCTCATAGAAAGGCATGCATATCAAATCTATAGCAGTGCAACAGTGCTCATAACAAACTATGCAGTTCAGGCACACATCAGATGTAAGTACCCTACTCTGCGTTGGGGTAGACACATATATATCATATGGCAATGTATTTATACTTAAGCCAAGTCTTTCCACACAGGCATATGAAATAAAAGAATGACTAGCACCCGAATCAAACATTGCAATCACCGAGAAATTGTTAATCATGATTGTACCTTGGATCATCTCTGGAGATCTCCGGGCTTTTTCCCTTGTGAGGGCAAACACTCAGCCCTGGGTGCGTGGTCTTGCCTGCTTAGTGTTCTGTGGGCACTCTCTTGAGAAATGTCCAGGTTTGCCACAGGTATAGCAAACATTCTGCCCAGCCATGCACGGTCTGTCACCGTGATTCTTCCCACACTTGGGACACTCCTTGCCTTTCGGTGCTTTACCGCCCCTCTTATTCTTGCGGTTATCCCATGGTCGCTTCCTCTTCTTATTTACATTGGATGAGGTGCCACCTTGACCTCCTTGACCTTCCTTCTCTGCTCTGGGAGTTGTCTTGACCATCAGATGATGGTTGAAGCTGCCTTCCATGATTCGACAGGCCTCCACTGCCTTGTTGAATTGTTCAAATTGTTTGGGAGTAATATCTCCCTCAATGATGGCCTCAGTCCTCGAACCATTTTCTCTATTATCCACCCCTCATTGTCTCTATATCGGAGATAGCTCGAATAATGAGAGAGACGGATGAACTTAGCCAAGTACTTATCAAAAGGTTCATCATCCCTTTGCTTTAGAGTCAGAAATTCTGCTTCTCTCTCGTCTTAGATGGATCTCAAAAAATACTTTTCATAAAACTTCTCCAGGAACACTTTCCAAGTTACCAACGTGTTCTGAGCATCCAAAAGAATTTTAGTATTCTTCCACCAGCGATCAGCATCTCTCTCCAGCTTATATATTGCCATCTAGACTTTTCACTTTGATGAGCAGTCCAGTACCTTGAAGATCTTCTCTAGGCGGTTGATCCACTCTTCCACCGCTTGAACATCAAACGTTCCATCAAACGACGGTGGGTTGTGCTTACAAAAGCGGGTCATCCACTGTTGGATGCTATCGGGGTCTGTTGCTGGCATTACCGGCCTGGGCAGTGGTTCTGAGGCTTGTGCTGTAGATATCTCTTCCTCTTGTTGCCTACTGTCAAGGTTCATTAATGCTGCTGCCACTACTGCAGCTATCGCTGCATCCCTTTCTTGCACCTGGCGAGCTTGCGCTGCTCTCATGTCTTCGATGGTCTTCTGCTGTTGCTCAAGGCGATCCAGAATTAATTGAAATGGATCGGGAGGGACCCTTGCATCTTACACTGGGGGTCTCTCCGGTAAAAGGTTTCATCGAGTTCTAACCATTGCTTAACTAATCAGATAGCACAGCAAGGAACAAGAAATAAATATCATGCTTGGATTTCATTCACAAAATGAGCATACAACAATTAGCAGTTAAGCATCAACCAGTCAAAGTACAATCAAAACATCCATCAACCAAGCATTAAACAACCTAACCTACTAGGGTTAGTTGTACCAAAATACATCCTATGTTAGTGGTAGGACAGTCCTAGCATCTACAGAAAGTGAACAATAACAAAGCCCTCGAGACTTCGGATCCAATCCTCCACATCATCTCCCAGCAAATAGTTCAGGCGGACGATCTCATGGGTCTATAATGGAGTGTTAGGTAGGACATCTACCATCTCACATAACCAATCAAATGGTTCTAAGTAAGGGTTGCCTGGTCCATGTGCCTGATACAGCTCCCTCACACCCTGGAGATAGTCTAGGTGTACTCTCAAGTTTGCTTCCACATCCCTCCTGATGTGACGCCCTATGAACCTCAGTCGGTCACTCAGCTAACCCACACTGCGGATCTCATGACTAGGCTGAACTGGGGCAGGTACAAATGGTACTGCAAGTGCTACAGGTATTACCGGGGCTGGGGGTACAATTGGTACAGTACTAGGTCCAGGGACATTACATGGATACATAGCAAGGGCAACAGGCTGCTTAAGAGACTGAACATAAAGATCTAAATCTAATGGCTCTTGGTACAAGCCAGTTACTGGGTTGACCAGGTCTCCGGGTTCGGGAAGGTACAACAACTGTTCTACAGTAATCCCTAGCACTCTGCATAGTTGTTGGAGCCTACTGATGAATGAACAGGGCTGGCATCTCCCATTACCCATTCCTCTAGGTTCTCCTCCTTAGTGAGATCAATTACTATCGGATCTTAATTGTTGACCGACGGCTCAGGCTTAGTATTCCAATCCATAGTAATTCCCATCCTAAATTCCTGTAACAAGGTGTTAATTCTTTCTTAATTAACCCAAAATCTAGGAAATACTTAAGCAGAGCGTTCTATCTTATGCCAGAACCTTCGCTCTGATACCAAAAATGTTACACCTTACTATTATATTGACTTAGGTTCCTTTTAAAACTATTTTAGACCACATTGGATGGTCTTGGGCTCACTTTTTACCACAAAAACGCTAAATTTCGGATTTTTACTGTTCATCGGGTAAAAATCCAGTTTTTCTGGCCCAATTTCAAAAATTCATAACTTATTCCAAAAAAATCCAATTGGGGTGGTTCAAAATTATAATTAAACCTCTTTAAGTCCTCTTTCAAGGAAAAATAATCTCATTATCCAATTCCTTATGAAAAAGCGTAAGGTTTTTGAGAAACGCAACACTGTCCATTTGCCAAAACCCTTTTTCCCAGATTCTGACCTTTAACTTTGAAAAATCATTATAAATCGTATACTTGGTCATTTTTAACGTATTAGCTATTAATTTGAAGCTCAGGATGTTAAATTTCATCATACTAAATTTCATGATTTAACGCACATGGGAGTAATATCAAAAATCTCGTGAACCAGTTAGTGTCAGTGTGCTTCCAGCACTGTTAGTATAATGTATACATAACCAAAATATGATCACGAAATTTTGTGGCTAAACCCCACAATCAACCTTCAATCTGAAGCTTCCCTTTGGAGGATTCAGGTCCTAAAATGTTAGCTTGCATTTATGGAATGAGATTTCATGGAAATCCCGGTAACAAATTAACCAACTATAGCACCAAGCAAGCATCATTATTATGCATGATCACATTAGCTACTATTGGTGAACTAACATGCTTACCATTTGGCAAACTCAAACATGCAAAGGCCAAAGCAAGATACTATAAAGAGTAGCTACATAACAATCAAGAAAGCTCAACCACAATAATAGCAATTAACCATACAATAATCAATAATGCTAGTTAGTGGTAGTAGCTAAGTTTAACTTACTACCTTGCTCTAAAAGCTTTAGTTTTTCTTCCTTCTCCTCTTTTCCTTTACAAATATCAAACCCTATCCATGTAATCCATCAAAAAGGGCAACAAGAATCATTATTCAACCATGAAAAAGCAAGAACATAAATCCAAATGATTCTTGAACCATAAAGCTCCCTCCTTTGTTCACTATTTTTAAACTTGATTCTTTTAAACCCTAAAAATCACTTCTTGACTTAATTCTACATGATTTTTCATGTAGATTCCAAATATGAGCTTAGATCTAGAGAAATAAAATTGCTTCTTCCAGCCACAACCTGACCAAACCACTAGAGGTTTTAAACCAAAAATCACAACTTTGCTTTTAAGCTTCCAACACTTATTCCTTTTAGTTTACCATACACCATTCCTCATTTTAAGCATCATGGAAGCCTTAAAACATTGAAAAAGTCATCCTAGGGTTCAGTCCTTCACTTGGCCGAAATGAACACTTGAGGAAATAACCATGAAAAATGCTTTAAAACAACCTAAACTCACTTGCAAACACTAAGATCTAACTTGTATTGTTGTATCTTAGCAAGTGTGATGAACAAAACTCCCTTCCCCTTTTAATATCCAGTTTGGCCAGCCAAAAAAAGAGGGAGAAGATAGATTTTTCAACCATAAAAAGGGAAGAAAAGAAAGCAAGACACATCTAAAACCATGAACTCACCTTGAATCTTTGCTTGAATGACTAAAGGAGCTCACTTTCTCTTGCTTTTCTCTCAAGCTCTCTTTGTTTTCTCTTATTTCCTCCCTTAGCCAAACTCTCATATGAAAATAGAGGGGAAGATGAGCTTGATTAATGGTTCAAAATATCTCAATCACCTTCTTTAATGATAGTCCAAGTGTCATTACCCTACTAAATCTTGATTTCTCTTTCATAATTAACAAAATTCCAAATGAAATTATTTACTAAAGTCAAGATCCTCTCCATTTGAGGAATGACACTTGGCAATTTCAAATCTTCTCCTACAAGAGCTTGACACATGGCTCAATATGATCCCTTTGATTTGCAAGACACTAATCTTGCTTTATCAGTATACTTTAGGCTCTGAGTTTAACTTCTTTTCTATAATTACAGTAGCTTAGTCTCTGTAATTATTTTCTGTCAGATCCTTAGTTTATTCTCCTCATTATTATCTTCCCAAATTGCCCTCTTTGCCTCAAAATTAATTTCCTAATAATTAATTAAAAAGGAAAATTAATTTCCTTCTGTTTAGGGATTTTTCCACATTTCATCATTATTTGCAAAAGTCTTGGATACTTGAGGGTCTTCATTTAATTCCATAATTCCTTATAATTCCTTGGGATCTCATAGGAATTTTCTTGGAATTTTATTCCTCTTAAAAATATTTATTTGGAATTTTCCAAATAAAATCCCTTAATTAGCCTAAATCACCCTTAAATTCTCTTATAAATTATCTAAGGGTAATTTGGTCATAAAACCAAATTTATAATTTTATATAATTCTCAGATAATATTATCCTCATTTTTCTTTAATTTTTCAAGGCTTGGAAATATTTTTTCCTTATTTAAAATTTGACCAATTTTCCTTAACTAGTCAAATTCCTATTTTTGGCTTGGAAACTACTGGAATTATTTTCCACCAAAATTCTCCTTATTATTTTTAAATCCTCAATAATTTGGAAATATTTCCTATTTCTAATTATCATAATGCTGGATGTGACACTGTGTCCTAAATGAAGAAATTCAAGGTATCTTGGAGGCATGCCATTCTCATGCCTGTAGAGGCCATTTCAGTGCTAAGAAGACCTCAAGGAAGATTTTAGAAACTGGATTTTATTGGCCAATCCTCTTTAAGGATGCTTATGAGTATTGTAAGAATTGTGACAAGTGCCAAAGGTTTAGAGCTAATACTAAAAGGAATGAGATGCCTTAATATCCTATTCTCTTTTGTGAAATCTTTGATGTATGGGGTATAGATTTCATGGGTCTATTTCCACCTTCTTCTAGAAATCATTATATTCTCTTGGCTGTGGATTATGTTTCAAGATGGATTGAGGCTATTCCCACAAAGAAAGATGATGCAGTCACAGTTTCAAGGTTCATAAAGTCACATATCTTCACAAGGTTTGGAATCCCTAAGGCTATGATAAGTGACTGTAGGACTTACTTTTGTAACAAGCTCTTGAATAGACTTTTCTCTAAGTTTGGGGTTACTCACAAGATATCCATAGCTTGTCACACACAGACTAATGGTCAGACAGAGGT